TTGGGTCCTATATACCCCTATGTAGCCCCCTAATATCCCCAAACATCCCCCTTTTAAAGGACCCGATTATTTGGGTCCTTGGAAATATGTAGAACTCATCTCTAAGCAGCCCTACTCCGTGCTCCATGTAGCAGGCTGCCTGCTGCTCTTCAGTCGCCAGACAGACAGCCCCATTGCTCGAGAAGGACTCCAAACTGTGCTGCCGTATATAGGGATTTTTCTTTGGATGCTGCCTGCATAGCACCCTAACCTCCGTGCAACTCCTGAACCCTAAGCCATAACGTCTATCAAGTTCCAAGTGTTCATCTTCTGAAAGAACCCATTTGACAGAGTGCCTCTGACAATGGTCTTGGCGGCTCCTGTACTTGTGCGCCAAGTTATCCTCGTATGGATGTCTTTTCTTCCAACAAATGCCAATTCAAGTCTTTCCGCCGTGCCATGAAAAGTGTATGGTTTATTTGCAGATCATTGGCTTGTGACCGCTGCAGCTGAAGGAAGCACAACGAACTCGACCTTTTGTTTGGTTTCCGGGTATGTGACAGAACTATGACGCATAAACACCACAACCATAGCACCCTCAGTATGATAGGGAACCGCCTGAAAACACCACAAATGCTCATCTATTCCAGCATAATTCTATCGTCCCATGGACTCCCTGACATCATGTAGAAAACCACTACTACCGCTCCCCCTGATTGCTGGGCATCGCGAAGCCCTGCACTATACGCCATTACTGCCTCCTCCCCAGAGTATGGCCTAACAACGCTAAAAGGTTTAGGGTTTAGGGTTCATGCCTAATTTGGGGTCTTGTCCGGGGAAGGGGAAAGGTCAAGGGACTTAGCAAGTCAAAGCAAGTATTCTTATGACCGCTACATGTCATGTAAAGCATCAGTTTTCCCGCTTTGTTGACCAACTTACGCAGTACCCTGACCCTAAACCTTAAACTCTGAATAATATACTCGTGGTTTCCAATCTCATGTTCCGTTTTTGATTGGACTCTCCATTATTGCCCTTAACCCCAACATATCCTTCCAGGTAGGCTTCAGAATTGCAACCCTAAGCCCTAATCCTTACTCTTGATACCGAGGATTCTACATGACCAAAACATACTGACTGTAATCTCAATATCCCCACGGTATGACGTACTTGGTGTCATGGAAGGTTTTTTGCATCCCAACCCTAAACCTTAAACCCTAATCCACCCTAGAACTGAAACTGAGCTCGCAACACGTTGCGCCCAGTTCCTCCGACAGGTAGCGAAACCTGCTCGTGGGATCTCCCGCGTACAGTAGGGTTTAGGATTCAGGGTTTAGGGTTTCGTATTGGGATACTGAAAAATAACTAGAAACTACAGGGATTATAGGGTTGTATAAAGGCTATATAGGGATTAGGGTTTAGGGTTTAGGGTTTCGGCCTTACAGACTATGAAAACATGTATGTGTAAAATCTGTTCCAAGAGGATCTGGGGATTCTTTTGGGATATGAAGGGATGCGTAGGCTTGGTGTTTGAGGTATATGGGAGATACTAAAGCCCCATGATAACGGAGAATCACGGCGAAAAGACAATGGAACATGAAATGAAAACTGAAATGGTTTCCAAAACCTAGGGGTCCTATCTCGAGGGTACCTAAATGAAGGGCTGTAATAATCTGGGGGTTTCTATTGGGGTTCCCCTGCTTTGGGAAACGACAATGTATAGATATGTACACATAGAGACTTATCAGCCACTCATTTGCTTACTGGGAGCCGCTTGGCATGAAGGGAGCCATGGAGGACTATGTGAGCTATGGTCGAAACTCCGAGTATCCCCCTCATAATCCTGATGATACTCCCCTATAATCCCTATATAACCCCCTTTAAGAGTCTAGGCTATAGTACGTGTGACTATGTCCATGCAGAATCTTGACGGGATAAGCGGCTAATGCCGTCTCAGCAGGAGCATTGGCTCAGGGGTAAAAAGAACCTTGGATCACTTGATCATAGGGGGCTTTAGTTCCCCAGCCCCTAGAATTCGGACCCCAAAACGGTATTCATATGATGATTCTAGGGTCCTTGTTACAGGAGGGTGAGGTGACTAAAAGCCCCCTTGTTACTTGCCCCGGCACGCCACATCAAGTCGCACGCGGTGTTTGGTCATGCCCATGCAATGCAAAAAACAATAATTAGGAATTAGGAAAACTGTGTCTGTATCATCCGTGTACGGCTGTAGTAGAAAATGCCCATAACCCTGTTCTACTCATTTCGGCCCGTTCCTTAGTCAAGCTCGTTCGGCCAGTAGCACGTCTGGCCCTTGCCAAAGAAGAGACTGAAAAAGCTGTACCAAGGCAAACTCACATGAAGCCTGGCCTAGCAAGCGACCCAGAGTGGCCCTACGGAGAGTACTGTGCTTTCAAAAGCCGACATCTGCGCTTCCTGGTTTTGTTCGTGGTTGCAAGTATATCGTAATCTTTTGAGCCTGCCCTTCTCTAAGCTTCGCACCTTGGGATCCAACCAGTTCTTGAGCTTCGCGAAGACAGCTCGCACGAACTCGTTGTAGGACTGAGATCAATCGCAACAGTGCAAGGCTATGTAAGCCATAGTCTAAACTACTAGCATGCCCCTCCATAACCCCATAGTAGTCCCCTCTATAACCCACTATAAAGCCCACTTTTTAAGGAGTTTAGACTATAGCTCACACCCGTGTACTCCACGCAAGCGCAGTGTCCAAAGACCTCCCAAGTTAAGCAATCCAGAAAGGGAGCCCCCGCATGCAACCTGTTGTGATATTGGTCAGCTTAAGCGGTGCTTCCAGGCAGCCCTGTGAACATTATTCCTATAGGCCTTCATTGTGACTTGTTATTATTACTCCTCTCCTTATTGCTATTGGTAACTTTTGTTGTAGTTGAACCCTGATCTTCCTTGAGGATTGCCGTCTCCCTGCAAAAGACCGGAAGCACACCGCTCTTTTTGCTTGCAGGGGGCTTCTTTGCTGATACAGGAATTATACGGATTATCTAAGAATAATGGAAAAGAACATGGAAACTACCATCTTAATTCCAATAGGGCAGCTGCACATATGTATATATGTATATATATATACATATGAGCTATCATCCTACCTACTAGTATGCCCGTTAACCAGCCCTATAATACTCCCCTATATAACCCCCTAATTAACCATTTTAAGGAATTTAGACTATGGACCATATAGGGATCCAAGGGTTACTTTGGCCGTCTTGGCCGTGCGGATCGGTTGAGCGCAGCTTCGCGCTCGAATCTGCGCGATTGTCGCTGAGATTCCGGTGCAGACGCTGAACGTCTGAACGTGGTGAAACAGCTGAATCCATTAGTTACCCCTACCATACCAGTTTAAAAGCCTCGTGTGTGGCTAGTCGGGAGCATACTCTAGCTAAAGCTAACAGACTAGGGGTCCTCGAATGTTTTTTTGCGAATGCCTCATGTTCTGTACACAACACCTGGGAGATAGTAGCTGCAAACGGTCATGGTCACAACTTCTTCAGCCAGCGCACGCGCCATTGCTGCACGATCAGAGTCTCTTCCATTCACCTTGACTATTCGGTCGTGTGGTTTCAGATGCTGGCGACAGTCAGCTTTATTCATCATGTGCATGGCTCCTTCTGGGTCCAGCTTCTTCACGCAAATTGATGCAGATGCCTTGCTTGCAGCAAGCACGATGCCAAGCTTTTTCCCCTGGCGGTCAATCGTGAACTCCGACTCTTGGGGATGCTCCAGCTGAAGCTCCACCAATGGACCAGCAGCTTGGAGTCTCCTTGTTTACGGCTGGCGGTTCAGGGTAAATAGGGTTTAGGGATTTGAGTGAAGGGACTGGGCTAGGGTTCCGGGCTGAGGGGTGCTTTTGGCAACCTGTTGCGCTATTGAAGGTGGTGATGGTGATGGCTACAACATACATGCAGCAAGCGCACGCGCAGCAGCATTCTTGCTACTCGTGAAGTTCATGTCGAGCGAAGTAGCAGCAATGAAGGAAAGTGGCCTGTATCTTGGAGCCCGCTTAAACATCTAATGTCCATACACTGCATACACCTGCGGCGCTGTAGCCGGTCATGAAAAATTAGCAAACGCCGGCAACACAGCATTTGTGTTTTTGTTTAATGAGATTCCCCTTATGTACCCAGAAAGGATCACATTATCACTCGTGCTCACCACTACTGGGTGAGGGATCGCCAAATGTGTACCCTACATGTACACCCAAAACTAGAGGCCCATGCGTTCAACCCCAGAACAAAACACGCGTGTCATCTAGAATGGAACTACAAGGGACTACAGGGTAGTACCCGTTTATATCTCGGCAAATACAATGGACAATAGGATGTTACCTGTTTGTATCTCAGGCTTTTTATCAGGCTTTTTAAATCACCAAGACATGAGATCCAGGATTCTCTTGCAAGTCGTGTGCCTTGGCGACAAAAGCGCCATTTATCGCCAGCACGCGGTCAAAAGGACGAATCCGATGGTCTGACGGAAGGCCCTCCTTTCAGGACCACTGAACTTGTCGTTCTTAACGATTACCGGGATAATTGGGGGGGGGGCCGGGGGGGGCGGGGGGGGCAGGGGAGGGGGATGGTAGTCATTTAAAGTACTGGTACTTGGTATATTGGATTGAAAGAGCCCCTAACATGGTTGCGATAGCTGCGATTTTCGGCCCTCAAAGTTTACCTTCCAGCATCCTTCTACTTACTGGTGGTTAGTAGGGAATACCGGAATATAAGCCCTGTATAAGCCCTGTTAAATATATGACCGTATACCCTACTAACCACCAGTAAGTCCGGTTGCTCCTTGTTGTTGTGGGCTGCTGCCAGCCCGGACTCATGCACACTGCTCCTCGGATCCCCAATGACAGATGGGGCATCAGCATTAATTCAATCTTAGAATTTAGCTAAATTTAGAGCGTCGAGGTTTGGGCTTTGGGTTCTCAGTTTGAGCTTAAGTTCACCCCAAAAGGTGCGCAAAATTAACTGAAATCTAATCCCAAACCCCCTGAAGGATCCAAAAAATGGAGCCCCCCAATATGAACCCATTACTACATTGGGGACACTAGTGGATTCTTAGGGGTTCCATTTTTTGGATCCTTTAGGGGGTCTGGTGTATTTTGAGGCTCCAAGGCTCACGATGCAAACGTCGGGGTCCATGAGGTCAAATGCGAGGCCCAGTTGACGCCCCTCACCCTCACCCGGCTCCAGAGTTACCTGGCGAATCTGTGCCCAAACCCTATACGACCCAAACCTCCGTGCACCCTAGACCCCAAAATGTGTGGCTCTGTAAAGCTTAGAACTGAGCATCCCCTCCCGTGTTGCCCCTACCCCCTCCCCTGAGTTTAGTAATCTCCCGCCTGATAAGTCCTCTTCTTCACCTCGTCCTGCGCCAACGATTACGGCGCAGAGATGATCCAAAACCCTACGCCTGATCCCCAAGCATGACGCCCTAACCCTCGAATTCTGATATGGTAGTTTCCCAAAATAGGGGGGCCCCAATAGAGATCCTAATATACTATAGCCCTTATTATGGCAACCCCCAAAAAGGTACCCCCCAATTTTGGGAAACCTCCATATTAAGCCCTGGGAACTAGGGCCCCAGACCTGGGCTCTAAGCCCGATGATCCAAACACAAAACTCCTCGCCCTTAACAGTACAAGCCCCAGAATTTCCATGTACCCAATGTTAGGTACTTCGGATTTGGGCAATAGTAATTATAGTACAGGTTTTGGGTAAGTATATGATTATTAGGTACTTGGAGCCTTAGGGACTGCCTAGACTTGACTCCCGAATCCTAAGCCCCAAGGCATAAATCCTGAACCCCCAAACCAAATCCCTAACACTCCATGCGTCCCAAAGCTTAAGCCCTAAACCATCGTCCTCGAGCACAAAATGTGGCGAAGTGACCACTTCTTTTGGCTCTCTTGCTCTGCTGACATCGCGTGCTTGCTGCTCTCCAAGCCTTGGGTTTTGTTTTTGAGCAATAGTCTAAACTCCTCAAGGGGAGGTTATATAAAGGATTATATAGGGGACTACCACATGGTTTATTAAGGGGGATACTAGGAGTTTGAACTATAGCTCTTTTGGTCTTTGGGCACATCTCCCGGGTTCCAGCTTTAGGGCTCTAGGTCCCGAACTCACATCTAGATTTTTGTGTAACTTCTAGGGGCTCCACTGCGAATGCTTCTTTGCTGCTTCCAAGGATGAAATGAAGATGCGTGAAGAGAGGACTACCCTGGCATGCAGAAAGGGAGCTTTGAGGGGAGTGCAATGGCCCTTAGGGATGTTCCATTGAAAAGGCCCACCCAGACCATGGTGAAAAGGTGGGTTCTAAAAGGAGGCCCCAGGAGCAACACTGGCACATCTGCATACCCATCCTTGAGGGTGTTGACCAGTGAGCACGGATTCTCAGTCGGCATCGCTCGATGGACCGTGAAATTCAGAGGACCTCAGGGCTTACGGTCTTTAGTAGTTTCCATTTTCTTTTCCATTATCCCTATATAACCCCAATATACCCCTAACATTAATATAACCCCCTAAACCCTATAAAAATCCCATTATAGTAGTTTCCATTTCTACTTTTTCCGGTTTAAGTTTTAGCATCATTGGCCTAAAATTGTAGGCTTGCGACTGGCTCAGCTTTCCCTATAAAGGCTCCAGGGTCATGATTGTTTCAAAGCACGCACACGTAAGGCAAACTAGTTAAACCAAAAGGTATACACCTCGATTCGGAGACATTGGCCCCCATGGTCATTCCACTCCTAGCATGTGTTGCTTGCACCTTAAACCCCAAACCCCAACACGTAAACGACAAACCTTGAGCCGCAAAACCTACCCCGCAAACTCTAAACCCTAGACCCTGCCACCTGGTAACCTAAACTCAACCCCTAAACCCTAAATCTAGAATACCCTCTGGTAGAGGCACCAGGCTCGCCATCCCCGTAGCAGCAGCAGATGTCAAAGAAGGCCATTGTCGAGGCGATCTCTTGAGCCTGTACTTACCTCTGGTTGGCAGGGAATGATGCAATTAATCAGAAGATGAAAGCTACCATATTATTGTGTTTTTTGGCATTGCTATAAGGGTCCGTTCCTTCCTTCCTTGCCAACCAGAGGTAAGATGGTCGATGCAATCTCTTGAGCCTGTAGGGTCGTCCTGGTAAGCAGGAAGGTTCAGCACACATATTTTTAAGCGCAGAGTTTAGGCTATTGAGGGTTTAAGGGTTAGGGTGTAGGATATATTTTCCTAGACTTCACAATTCCCTCACAGGGCCCGTATCAGCGACCAAGGGTCACAACCTTAGATGCTTTCTTGGTGTAGTAAACTGCAGGTTCACAAGTTGGCTTTTCGGAATGGCCGACACATTAATTAATGGAGAATCAAATGGAAAAGAAACTGGAAAATGACATGGAAACTAGGATTCTATAGGGACTTATGGGGTGTTGGTAGCTTTCCCAAAAATAGGGGGACCCCAACATAGACCGCGAAATGCTACAATCCCTATTCTAGGCACCCCCTAATTTTGGGCACGTGGCCTTCAACCCCAAAGAAGAAGCTAGGTAGGCATGTTACAAAACGCTAGTGTTATTTGGAGTCTATAGTGTGTACTAATGGTGATTGAAAAGGATACGTGGTTGCTCTTTGCATTTTCCCTACCTGACCCCAAGCCATGCAAACCACCATCAAATCTCAGTTACCATTCATTCTGCATTTTCTTTTCTCCACTATCCTACACCCCAACATTCTTGTATATCCCTATATGTCCATATGCACCCTATCTTTGTCCTTAACTGCCAAGCGCCCAGCTAGTCGTCCGCTGCCGTCTCTGTCCATCCTGGCACTTGTGCGCACCCAAAAAGAAAGGACAAGGTCGACGTCGAGGGTGTTAGGGCTTAGAGTGTAGGCTTTACTGGGTTGATGATACGGAACTTAAACTAAGTTACAATAATGAGGAAACCCTACTACTTACTATATACATACATACATACATACATACATACATGCATGCATGCATGCATGCATGCATGCATGCATACATACATACATACCTATATATATATATGTATATATTTGGGAAACCGGATGATTCACTGTATAGCCATTTCGTGGTAAGCCACTCCAAATTGACATCCCGGAGGCTACAGAGGAAATTGCTTTGCATCAAGCAAAAGATGCAGGCAAGAAACATGGCCGAGACAACAGAAGTAACCAACTCTCACGCAACAATTTCACCTGTTTGAGCTCCGAACCACTACTAAGGGCTGGCCACATCGCATGAAAGGGCTGACCCTAAACCCTACACCCAAATCCTCCAGAGTCTTGGAGCAGTCCAGCCAGAGAGCCCCACACCCAAAGGTACTAGTAAGGAGTACGTCATTTTGCTTCACTGACCGCTTAAACTTCCCGGATGTCTATATCTATATAACTGGTAGAGAAGGGCGGTACAGATTTATGTGCCAAGTTTTCTGAAAAGTCACGCCCCTGAATATACCCCCTAATACTCCCCTATATAGGGGTTTCCCCAAATTATGGGTACCTTTTTGGGCGTCCCCATAATAAGGACTACAGTATTTTTGGGTCTATATTGGGGTCCCCCTATTTTGGGAAACTACCATATAATCCCATGAAGGAGACTAGAGAATAGCTCACTTGGCCAAGTATGCCCGAAAAGAAGTTCAGGACCGCTTGTACATGCAAGTTTTCCTGGGATACTGCTTTGTAAGTGGGAAACAATACCTTTGCAAGTGGGAAGCAACACCAGGGCACCAAGACGTATGAACTTGCGCTATGCGTACTGGGATTGGTAGGGATACAGGAGTATATCATGTAGGGATTATTTTCCCATAATCAATGACTAGTAAAGGCTAATATATCAGCAGCAAGGATAGTGAGAACAGCGGCATTGCAAACCAAACTAGTAGCAACAGTAAGAATGAGAGTAAGTGCAAGTCCCCAAGACGATTTGGGCCCGGTAGGTAGCTGAGCCAGGTGCTCCATGAAAAAGCGCGTCCAACTGCAAGCGGTGTCCTCGCAGCTACTACTCACTTACTACTCGAAGTTGCCCAAGAGCCTTGAGTTTCGGGGAAGGTCCAAGCGTTACTTAAAGTTTGATGGGTAAATACTGCATATCTGGGGTAGCTAATTGTAGGCTATAATTGCAATTAGGTGAAAGGTTCCAACGGGGTACTTCAAGCCCAAGAGGAGTCAGAGCAACAACGCTAAATCACTGTGCCTTGCTTTAGAGTGCCAAGGGTTGTGCGGAAAACGGTGAAGTTCTGCGAAATAACGGTTCCTTTCGGGGGCCGGACATGGCTTATTTGATCTTATCTGTCAGGTTTGGGGTACGTTTGTTAAGCAAATGCCAAATTCAATTGAGGAGGGTTGCAAGGCCGGCAAACGCAGGATCAAACATGTACTGCAGGGAGATGATGTACGGGCTATGTGTTTTGAAGTTCATACATGCGGGGAGTCCAGTTAGGGCCCCCCCCCCCTGCATCAAGGAGTATAGTACTTGCGGGTATATGGGAACCACATTTCTGAAAGCCCCCAAACGGTTTGCTGCAGCGATTCAAGACCCTAGGACAACTACAAGGCAGGAGTACCTTATAGCGTCTTCCCATTACACGGTCCCCCGCCCTTTGCCTCCCAAACCCTTTTTATGAGTCACGGACTGAGGCCGGAGCATTTGACAAAGCATCATGCTAGAAGCTGATCGAGAAGCAAGTCTAAAGTCAAGCACTAAGGCACTAAGCCTCCCAAATCCTAAACCCTAAAACAATACGCCCTAAACCCTTGACCCTATGCACCCCACAGTCTGTGACCCCGTGACCCCCGAACCCTATGAATTCAAAACCCTATCAACCCCAACCAGTGTAAACCCTAAACCCTATAAACTCCTTACAAGCCTGAACCCTGCAAACACTAAACCCTAAACTGCAGAGGCTCTGGACTGGGTTGGCCCCAAAAACCTTTTGAAAATATTAGTATATAGGGTCCCTTGTTAAAGCCATTAGGAAAAATATTAAAATATCCCAGGAGCCTACCCAGTGGACCAACTGAACCCTAAACCCTAAACCCTAAACCCTTGGTCTTGGGCTCAAGCGTTCACCTTGGCGCCACCCTGCCAGGCAGCGGCCTCACCTTGGAGTTCACCAGACGTAAGGGGCCACTTGGGGGGTCAGGAGGGCTTAGTAATAATGGAAAAGAATATGGAAGCTACTTTATCAATAGGATGCAGGGTATAGGGTTTAGGGTCAGGAGGACTTAGTAAGTGGGTGAATAGGGGGGGATAAGTAGGGTGATTATATGGGTTATAGAGTTATAGGGGTTATTAACCTGCTTACCAAGTCCCCCTAACCCTCCAAGTAGGATTAAGGTTTAGGGTGTATAGGGCTTTGGGCTAAGGGGCCAGGATTCAGGGATCAGGGTTTGGGGATCATAGTAGGGAATGGAGAAGAAAATCGAGGCGATTGTAGGATTTCGGGCTTAAGGCTTTGCGCTTCAGGTTCTTACTGCACTTTTGGAGGAGGAAAGTAAACATAACATGGAAATGGCATGGAAACTCCGGGCGCATATGAACTATAGCCTAAACTCCCAGTATCCCCTTAATAACTCTTACGTATAAGAATATCCTATATAAACCCCTATACAACCACCTTAAGGAGTTGAGACTATAGCTTACATGGAAGAAGGGTCTGACTCCGTTTGGTTTCGGGAAAGAAGGGAAGCATTCCGCTCTTCGCTACTAACAAGCAATAGTTTTGGGTTAGGGGCTTTACGACCAGTAAGTTAACCCCAAGCCCCAAACATATGTTTTTATGTACTTCTCTGCTTGTTGACTTAGGCGCTCCTTGAGAACCACAGCTCACTTCGTTTTGTGGCTGCTTTACAACTGGGTTTTCCAGTCCTACTAACAAGCAAGAAGAGTAAAGAGCTGAGGACGCAGGCTTTGATGGTATTGGCATCGTAGAGGGCTTCTGGGGGAATCAACAAGGGATGGACCATATGAACATCTGCAGCTGGGGTTCAGGGATGGAGCAGAATACGTCAGTCTTGATAGCTGCGTTCAAGATGAGTTTCAGGACACGAAAGCTGTAGGAATGAGCCGCTACGACCACTCTACGATTGTGCATATCATGTGCTCGTGTCAGCCTCGTTGTCTCAGAAGCTGGCTTGCGCTGGCAACGCTGAGATAGCCCTTGTCGATGTAGTAAGACGAAAGCGCCCGCCTTGGCCAAGCACCCTGCGTCTCACTGGGTCGTGCTGGAGTTAGCCGTGGCAGGCAGCTGGCAAAACCTCTAATGAATCACTACATCAAGAAGCACAGTGACGAGGCAGTATCACAACAACATTCCTGTTCCAGGGCGCCTCTTTCTTCTCTTTGACTATCACCTCACGCCAGCTAGCTCTCCGTCCCTCACCTTCGGATGCCAAATAATGAGCCCTAATCCCTTAATCCCGAATCGCTCAACCCTACTCCCTAAACCCCATCCCGATAGTCGCAAGCATCTCTTGGCCATACGGTTTAGGGCTTAGGGACCCCGAACCCTCGAGCTGTTCACTGGGTTTCCGGCTCCAACGCTTGGGCCACCCCGCGCACCTCAACGCTGGAGCGCTCGGAGACGGGCGGCAACCTTGGGTGGTACTGTTGCCATAGCACATTAGGGTTTAGGGATTAGGGTTTAAGGTTTAGGGATTAGGGATTCAGGCTTAGAGCTTAAAAGAAATTAAGGATCCCTTGAAAGGCTATATCAGGGTTCTATAGGGATATTTAGGATTTAGAGTTTAAGGTAGAAAGGTACAATACTATTGTCCAATAATGATGGAGAATCAACTGGACATGAAAATGCAACATGAAATGGAAGCTGGGTTTGTAAGCGGCCTAGAGAGCAAGAGAACCACTAGCTCAAGCTAAAGGGATATTCAAACCCCCAAGGCTACCGGGATCCCATATAATCTCCCGCAGTATGGCAAGGAATTCAAGGTTTGCGGGGTGAAGGGGCAAGATAAGATGGGGGAAAAGACTGAAAGTCTAGCAGTTTCGAGCTTGGGCTTCGGCTTGAAGTAGTCATAATAGTAGATAATGATCATAGCAACAGCAATAGTAATAGTCATATATATATGTATATATACACTAAAAATAGTAATAGAGTTGAGGCTTCGAAGATTTTTGTGAGGTTTCGAGTCACAGGTTTCTGAGCTTCGGGTCACGGAGTCAAGTTCGGGGCCCTTGTAGGCATTCAGGGGGCTACTCCAGGCGATTCGATAATATGCCCAATTATCTGAAACCATTTCCGCCAGATAGTATCCGGATAGTAGACCCCTACATACCCCCCTTTAAGGAGTTTAGACTATAGTGTAGATGGTACTAGCCTCTAGGCAGCCTCCGGGTCAGGTCAACTAATTTAGATTTTCTCAGCTTGGGTGGCGAGGCAGTGTGAGACACCCGTACTCTCCGAGGGCAAACTCTGGAAACGCTGTTCACAGAAGAGCTCGTCGCACGGCGCGGCGCCGCAATTCTGATGGACACTACCGTCGCCCATGAATTCCTGTCCACGTGGGGCCCGTCGAGGATAGTTTCCACTTTCTTTTCCATTATCCCAACATTAACCAAACCCCAGTATACCCTATAAATATAATAGTTTTTATTTATGTTCCATTCTCCCAGATCCTTGTGTTTTGCTGGCCCCAAGCTTGGGCAGCTCCTCAGGCTTCAAGGCACTGCAGCCGCCGAAAGCTTCACTATGCCATCTGGGCTCTGGGTTAGGAATTTGGATTCTCTCTGCAGGAGCACAATGCTCCCTCCTGGATTTTGGTCACAGACTCTGAGATCTCATTACGTTTCAAGGCGCGGCAGCTGTGAAATGTATGAGCCTCAATGGTGGCCAGTAAGCGAGGATGCTTGGTGCTTTCCAGGGCAACGCAACTGTGGAATGCAAGCGTCTCGATTCTGTTCACAGAATCCGGAATCTCAACGTGTTCAAGGGAGTTGGGCAGACTGATCTTCTGCAAGGCACTGCAAGAGCGGAAGGCAGCGCGCTTGACGCAAGTCACTGGCCTTGGGAACTCCATCTCCTGGAGCGTGTGACAGAATTCACCTTTATGAAGGTCTGCTGTGTCGTCGGGGACGGGGATTTGGACGAAAATCATATTCTCAGCTGGGACTGGTGGCTTCGCTGCGGCTTGCGCGACATGCTTGAAACGGACCTAGCGTTAACGCCTCGAGGGGCACATGGAATAATGTTAGGATTCAAGCGACATCCCACTACTGACTGCTAGCAAGCAGACGGTTTCCAAACTTCCTAAACAAGGGCACGACTCTCTAAACAAGGAGAGCTTTGGTCGATCATCTGCCTGAGGCTTTAAAATCTCCGCGCGGGGCGCCACTGCTTGAGCACTCTGAGTCACCAAGCACGCACGGAAACCTGCTGGCAGCTTGACAGCCTCATGATCCACAATGTTTCGCTCCACCTTGATTTTCGTTAACGATCCGTCCACACCTGGAATGCTGACCTCGATGTCTGTCATGGCTCCTAAGCTTAGACCAAGCCATACTGGTTCTGAATACTGAAAGCAGCGGAACTTCTGATGAGCAGCGAACAGGATGTCTTGGGAAATCCACCCTAAACCCTAAAGCCTGAACCCTAAACCCTAAGGCTTTCATCCGGATCTCGCTTGGCTTGACATATTGGCTTCGAGACTGACTCAGGACTAGGAGGCTAATGACCCACAGGCCGGCTTCGAAACACAAACTTCCTGGGTTGGTAGGGAATAAGGGAACATACTATATGAAGTTTAGGGTTGAGGGCTAGTAGGGAATAAGGAATGTGTTGTATAGGCATTCTATAGGGATTCTATTCCGTTATTCCGGTTTGACCACCAGGAAGCAAATGGCTGCCAGGGTTCATTCATGCAACTCTCTTGTGGGAAAGAGGGAATCTGGGAACGGGTTGTAGAAACTATAACCTGGCTTGCTGTTCAGACTTAAGCTAAGTTACCATATCATGGGTATATGGAGAAACGAGTATCTTCATGACTGTGCGTGTGCGTGCAAATGATCGTGCCAGTACCTCGTAACAAGGCGATGATACAGAACCCTCTTACAACTCTTGATTGGGAAGCTGCATGCCCCCACATATCCTCAGCATTGGGAACTACATTAGTTTAGGACAACAATTGGCGCAGAATTCATAGCATCGACAGGACGAACGTATTTTGTACAGTCTGCCTTGCTTGGGACACTGCGAAGGCTTGTCCGGCGTCTTCCGCCTTTGATCTTTCTGGAAGCTGGCGTCCTTGGACGTTGTACTCAAGCTTGAGATCTGAAAGTCAAACCTGTTGCCTGGTAGGGGCTCCGGACCTGATTCGGTGAACTATGAAGTCGCTAAAATACGCGCTATGACTGGCAATTCAGGCCCATTGAACTCAAGGCGGTCTCTGCTGCATAACCGTCAACCCTTTGTCCACTTGGTGAAGAGGTGGTAGCGTTTAGGGATCAGGATGCGATAAACATTCCGGTTTTCAAGGTGGCCATGATGGAATATACTTTCCGCTACATTTTCGTTTCTAGACCTACCGGAACCCGAAGACTTTCCCCACAGCGCCTGGAGGTTGGTTAAATTTCCACATATGTCATATAGAGCTTTCACAATAGTGGGCAAGCCGGCGTCATCTTGCAAGTGCGGCTGGATGTATTGCGTTACGAATACAGGGGTTTCTCAAGAACTATTTGAGCCCATTTGAGAATTCGAGTAATCAATACAGATAATCGGTGGGCCCCCAAAAAGGGTACAGCTGTATTGAGCATGATGGGACCGCGTGGGAGCCTCGCAGATATTGGAGTCAAGTTGCTGCTCAATCTGACATCAAGGACCGAACTTTTTTGCACAAAAATCTGGCTGCTTAAGCTCGAGAGTACGCATGAACACAAGCAGTTACCCTCCACCGAAATCATGAAACCCCTTTTCATCGCAGTCCGGTTCAAATGGGTCCAGAAGTATGGGGTTTCTCGTTAGTTTGGGGGAGGCCAAATTGATCAAAACTGTGACGTGCATATGCCATGGTCGCACTCAGCTCAGCACACTCCATCTTCGCATAAACACCTGGCAGAGAAACCCAAAGCTTGTTGTGAGGTTTTCTGAAGGAGGGGATGTCGCTTGTTTTTTCGGGATCTGCTGCAAGGATTGCGAGCGATATAAGGGGGACCCAAATTTATGAATACCACCCCATTTGTTGGTAGGTAGCATAACCGAACGCGATCTCTATCTCGCCGGCTGCAGCTGACAAACCCTGACTGAGAGCAAAATTCCATTTGACTGAGGAGTATAAACGTTTCCTTTCTGGTACAAGGTACATATACCATCATACACCTTACGCCAGGTCAAGAACCCAAATATGATGTTCAATGCAAATGTTGTTACAACATACCAAGCGCCTTAGCATGCTTCAAGCACACTTCCCGAAACGACTGTAAGAATCCTACATCGCTTTAGTACGTATGTGGAATCTAAATTTGTGTGCACCAATCTCTCCAGCCATAAGGCCTGTCTAGGTCAGTGGACTGAGTAACTAGGTAGCGCGGATACTAGTGCAAAAAACTGTATCAAGTGACCCTCCAAGTACTATACAAGCCCGACTAACCAGGAAGATCATCTCATCATACTCAGTATATAGCTACGACTAAACGGGTCCCAAAACCGTCTTCCATAGCTCAGCCGCCTACAACCCAAACACCAAACAAATCCAGGAATTTCCAATTTTATCAGTGATTTTGCAAAGTGACAGTATCCCTGTTGACGAGACCATTCGGCTCGTTGGGAAAGCGGATGAGGGTCGGACCATGAACCGATGAACGGGGACCTCGATGCTGCCTGTGTTGTCCAAAGCCTGTCATGGAGCATCCCACTACATACAGCCAATGATCCAGAGCTTAAGGCTTAGCATCTAGGGTCCAAGTTCTCAATACTTGAGAATTGCTTTGATTGCCCTTGTAAGCCAGTGGGAATACACTCCCGCAAGGAAGATCGCAACCGACAGGGAACTTCCCCTGTGGCCATTTTGGGGACAGGTATGTTGAACAGCTACCAATTGGGTACGTACTTGGCAACTTGGGGCTCAGGTAATTAGGCTCGCATATAGGTTTGGGGGTAAGATATGATGATTACGTACCTCGACGCCTAGAGCTTTGGAAGAACCTCCGACATTAAGAGCACCTTTTTCGAGCATATGATTCGGCGAGTCATTTGTTGATGAGCCTCTATTGCACGAATCCTCACGCGTTGGGCAGAGTGGCAGTGGCAACGTATTGGTCCCTTTCTTGAGGTCTGACCATCTACACTAGATGCGCTTTAGTGTATACTGTGTCTCCGGCAGTCTCGGCAAACCCTAAACCCCTATATAACCCCCATATAACCCTAACATATAACCCATTGTAGTCGTTTCCATTTTCTTTTCCATTTTCCAGCTGAAACTTCATCCCCAAGCCGACCCATCCTCAGCCCTAAGCTGGGTTGCTGTTAAGGAACTTAAAATAAGTTACCATAATGGGTATATATAGTAAGTAATAGGGTTTCCCCAATATAGTAACAACCCAGGTTAAGGAACTCAAAATAAGTTACCATAATATGGATCGCCATGTAGAAAGTCATAGGCTTTGCTTCATAAATGGATTGAAGTTCCTTAGCAGCAGCCGAGGAAACCACTTTAGGGCTTAGGGCTTAGGCTTTAGGGTTTAGGGCTTAGGGTTTAGGGTGTAAGGTTTAGGGTTTAGGGCTTAGGGCTTAGGGTTTAGGGTTTCTAGGGGTTAGGGCTTAGGGTTCAGAGGGCTTAGGATTTAGGGTCTAGTGCTATAGTAGAGGTGCCGGTCTCAGAGCAATCTGTGCCTCGAGAAAGGGTCATAACAGAATGTAGAACTAAGGGCTTAGGGTCAAGGGCTCCCTGGTTGTACCCCTAAGGACGCACCCCTAAAAATCTTTCCCCAATATAGCCCTAATATACTTAGCCCTTATATGAGCCAAAGTAGTCTTATAGGGTCCCTTACAAGGATACCCAGGGCTACAACCCTAGGGGTACAACTCTGGAACCCTTTATCAGGGTGTGAGAAATGCCCCAAACCCTAACCTGAAGCCCTCAAACCCTTCGACCCTCTCACAACGGCTCGGTGCAGGCCTTCCAAAGTCCCTGCCTTAGCACTGCCGGAGCAAGCCGCTGGGCTGCATATGGGTTTAGGGTTTAGGGTTTAGGGGTTTAGGGTTTAGGATTTAGGGTTTAGGGGTTTAGGGTTTGTGGTTAGGGTTAAGGGTTTAGGGCTTGGGATTTATAGGGTTTATAATACGATTTAGGTTTAGGGTTTAGGGCTAGATAGGGATAGATCAACAAATGGAAACTACTAACACTGGAGAAGCCACTGGAAAAGAAAAGGGAACATGACATGGGAACTAGGGTTTTGCAGGCTTTGTAGGGATAATGGAAAAGCCCATGGAATCTCATATATCAGAATCGAATGAATACTGGGATTACCTATATCTTAGGGTTTAAGAGTTTAGCGCCGTTTAGGGGTGCAGCGATTGGGTATTTCTTAGGGTTCAGGGCTTAGTGGTGTACATCAACTCCTATTGGGGTCATAGGGATGTTGGGGGCTATTTTGGTTGTAGCGGGGTGGCCTTAACAACCCCGAAGGTATGTAGAATCCAGCTTGCCAAGCTTCTTATATGACTCTGGGACGTTTCTTTACCTACTTTTCAGGTACGGTCTGGAGCAGGCAGTTTGTCTCTAAGAAGCAGGAGGTTGAGGGATTTCGTCCGGTCCTCAGGGATGGTATAGCTACATAGGTACATGGTCCAGGCTTTTGAAGTACCATGGGCAATGCTTCGAGAATCTCATGTCAAAACCCTGGAATGCAAAAAACAAAGGATTCGCAACTTGCTCCCCGCGCCAGGGCCCAGGCAGCTCTCGTTCTTTGACATCACGCGTTGGCACCCTCAGGCACGGATAAGTTCCGCGAACCTTGCGACTCAAACCCACGTCTGCTGGGGATTTCCGAATTAACGGCTCTACGAGCTGATTGCTGACCACAGTGGGCTATAGTCTGAACTCTGTATCCCCCTTAAAAATCCCTTAAAAAAACACCTGTAGTAGTCCTCTATAGAATCCCCTAGAGTTTAGACCTAAACCCCTTAACCCTATGTGTATATATATAGGGAGAGAAAGAATCCCTATATGACCCCCCTTTAATTTAAGGAGTTAAACTATAGCTCATTGGACTATCTGACCAGAGCCGAAATCTACACGTAAAAATGAGAGCAGTCTTCTCCAAGAGCCCTGAAAGGAGCCTACACTCCCGGAACCTAACATGGTAACCCAAAAAAAAGACCCTACAAAGACTACAGTCCCTCTACAAGGGAACTATACGGGTTTCCATGTGGTAGTTTCCCAAAATAAGGGGACCCCAATATAGATCCCAGAATATTATATTCCTTATAATAGGGGTTCCCAAAACAGTACCCCTAATTCTGGGAAACCCCTATGTTCCTTTGGGGGAGTGTAGTGAGAGAATGCCATGCAAGACTTGGGCCGCTGCTGTCTCCCTTCTTCAAGTGAGCTATCAAAACAACGCTGTGGGCATCTTTCAAATCCTGCAAAATTGGAACTAGACGCTGACCCAAAACCCTGAACCTTTGAAACCCTACATAATCTTCATCTAACCCCTATTGAATGCCTGTGATCTCATTTACTGTAATTCCCCCCAAGTTAAACCCTAAATATGCATGTACATTCACTGCTCCAAGAAAACCTACATACACTCACCCATGACCATGATACCAAACCCTCCCTCATACAACCCCTATGTGCCCAACACCCTGTAGCTCCCCTCTATGCTGCCTGCGTGATCCTCAGGTGATGATCCCCATGCAACCCCTATGTACCCAAGACCCTACCTCATCTAACCCCTGTATTATACTTCTACGATCCCCATATACTTCCTAGACCCTATAACCCTATGAGCCACTAGACAATCTCAGTTTCAATGCAGATCCTCTTTCTTGTCCGACTGATTCTCTATTATTGGGATACTATCTAACTCCTATATAACTCTATATTGCCCTATATAACCCAATGCAAAACCATATATAACCCTATATAGCCCTATGTAAAACCCTATGTGACCCTCTATAGCCATGTATAACCTGAAGCAAAAAATCCCATATAACCGTAGCAGGCCAGGTTGAGGTTTTCACACATTGCACGAGCTCATCGTAGGAGAGGTTGCCGCTGCCATCTGCATCGATCTGGTTGAAGATCTTAAACCTGAGCTGGCCATGTTATACTGCTTTAAGAACCTGGAGTTCAACCAATTTGGGACGATTGAACTATTTGGTATACAAACCACCATAATCGAGGCTAGGTTTGCTGCGATCTGCGCCACTGAGTGTGGTTGGCAGAAGACCATAGGCGGGTTTGAAGAATCGCAAGCCCATTTCGAGGGATTGCTGTAACAAGAACTATAATCTATGATTTATGTGGGCATATAAGGGCCCCTTGTTTTTGGAAACCGTTTAACAGCAATCCTGATGTTGCTGACAGGAAAGCCAGTTTCCGCCCGAACGGTGCCACTTGTGCGCGGCCTGGTTCAGAATGCGAACCTTTGCCAGGCAGACAGCTGCAAGCCAACAAGTGACTTCGCTCTTTGGCAAACTGTTAGACAGGCATGTCCAGCAGCGTTGCTCAAAATCCCACCCAGATTCAATGATCCTTGCCCCTAAAATTTGAAACTACCACATGATCTTTAATCTGCACTCCTTCTATCCCCCTTAAGAACCTCTATAGTAGTGCCTTATATAATTCCCTATATAACCACCCCTTTTCGGAGATTTGACTCTAGCTCACATGAGCTCTGAGATTTCAATAGGTCGACTCAGAAGATCGCCACTTGCTCAATTTCTTCGTCGGTGAGGTCAGGCCTCTGCTGCACGCTGGCCAACTGATGCAGTTAAAGTTAGCCACAGCACCGCGTGGAAACATTTCGGAGATCACCAAACCTCATCATAAGGTTACCCGTAGCTTTTGTGCGGCCGCAGTATTCGTCCTAGTAGCAGTACTACAGGTTCGCCGACAACTTAGCGACTTATACGTTACTTATAACTAACATAGCAATGGCCCTTTTTACGTTTGTTTTAAGTCTATTTTAAGTTCGCTAAGTTCGAATAATGTTTTTCGGACTAAAACTCGAAAATTAAAAAAGTTTCGAATCTACAACATTTTTCACGCATGTCATGCATGCATGCATAATGAGACTTTTGCTTGTGAAGCACTGCAAGCCGTCACTTTTTCTGCGTCGTTGCAGCTGTTCAGCTGGTTTTCGTTTGGCTGGATTTTTAAGGCAGCGAGAGCAATTGCTCTGCGGGACCTGGGCTTTTGCTTTCTGATCTCATGAAGCCGCGGTCGGCTCCGGCTCTTGCACAACGGCCATGGCGTAAGGCCGGAAAGAAAACGCTACTAAGGCCAAGCTGCGAGCAAAACCGGCTTCAGACAAGCAAAATATGGCAGTCACGATCTTTACTAAAATTATGTAGATTTCTTGAAAATGCCCAAGAACCTGGCGGACGTCGCTATAGACCAGCTACAAGAGCGGATCATGGCGGACGAACATACCGGCGGATGCCGGCGGACGACGGTGGACGTCGGCGGACGTCTGGCGGACGACGGTTTTCGGTGATTTCGCCGTGGTTTTCGGTCATATCACTTTCAGATTTCTTTCGTTTTCTTTCTGCCAAGCACAAGGATTTAGGGTTTAGGGGTTTAGGGTTTAAGGTTTAGGGTTTAGTGGTTCGGGTTTAGGGTTTACGGTTTAGGGGTTTAGGCGACGCAAAATTAAGTGAACTCGCCCAGAACAAGCTGCAGCCGAAAAACGCACATCATCATGAACCGTGCATGCTCAAAATATGCTCACTTTTTTCTAATAAAAAACAAAAACGTCCCAATTCTTCAGAAAAAATGAAAACGCTAAGTTCCTTGTAAGTTACTGACGCTGTTTTTTTCCATCAACATAAGATGCCCGTAAGCTCCTAAGTTGTCATGTATGTTCACTCTCCGCCTAAGTAAGCTTAGGAAGAACTTATCCATTTATAACCTAACGTAGGAACTTATGACATAATTTATACATTAATTATAAATTATAAGCCCCTATGTTGCCGGCGAACCCCTAGTAGCCGTTGCGGCAGTGGGAGTCACCACTATCAACATTGACAACCCGCTCAAACTTCATGAAGAACTGAGAGGCTGGCCACTGACTCAGCTCGATTTTGTACATGAGTCGCCTTGGTTCCAAATGTGTCTGAAAACTAGGGTTATATATAGGGTTATATAGAACATGACCCCACATTGGGGGTGGATGGAGAATAATGGAAAAGAAAATGAAAGCTACTGTAGTATATTGGGTTCATGCTGCGCAAGAATGGTGCTCATTAGGCTGGGCTCCCAGCGGCCCACCTACTGATAGGGTCCTTTGGATCCCTCTACCTTCCTTCTGTACCACTTTAGGGTTTAGGGTGGGTTTAGGGTTTAGGGTTTAGGGTTTACCGAGCCAAGCCGCCCAAACTCTTCGACAGAAGCCTGCCCGCTGTTATCTTCATCCAGACGTCGCCAGAAGACTCGAAGCCTTCAGCGTCTAAGGTTTGTATGTAAGGGTATATGGGCTGTAGTCCAGGCCCCCATAATAATATAGGGCTTTTATAGGGTCTAAACTCCGAGTATCCCCCTTAATGACCCCTACAGTATTCCCCTGTGTAGCCTCCCTTTCATATGGGGGGCTGTATGCGTACCAAGCTGCATATAAGGGTGTAGTTTCGGGTCTCATGCTTTAGGTAACGGCAGTTTTGGTCCGGCGAGTAGTAAGGCTTGAAGTTTAGGTTTTCCACGCAAGTTGAGGGAGTAGGGGTTGATGGGCTGCGGGAGCCCAATCCTATGTTCACTTTCGGGTCATCCTAGATTTCTCAAGGGCCAGGGCTCGATGTATACAGGACATCAAAAAGGGCTCGATGTTTAGCAACTCTTTCCATCAATGGGAATGGTGCTCCAATAAATCGCACCGGTATGTGTAGCAGCAGATATGCAACAAAACAGGCGGGTAACTCTTCAGCATTAAACAAATTTTGACAGTCCATGTGTGAATACTTGGCCCTTATTGTGTTGACCCTGTAACCAAGCACAGCCTGAAATCTAAACGCGCCTTCAAATCATAAGCCCGAATGCCTAAACCCTAAACTGCGTCTTGCTGCTGGCCTACCAGAGGGCTGAAAGCACTGAAAAGGAATTGCTGGGGAATATCACATGGGATGCCTGTAGAAGCCCCACAGAACCCCTTTGCATGATAAGACCTTGCTAGATTCTGAACACTTCCATGGTAAGGGACTATGGCCACATGATCTTCCGGATCTTTGGAGTTACTAAGTAGGTTCCACCTCCCTTGGACCTACAAGTACTCAGGACTCAGGGCCAGGGAGAAGCTGCGAAGCTCAGGGCACGACTCGTACCTGGACACAGGTGCCTTCAGCTTCTTCCGAGCCTCAAGTGCCCGGTGAAAAAGTCACGACGTGTAATATCAAAGCACCATGGACTACAACAACCTGTGGATACACATATAGGTATAGGAATGCATAGGTAAGCATGTATGTACGTACGTATGTATGAACAAAATAATGTGTATGCACGCCCGCACGCAACCGTGAATATGTGTACATACACGTATGTATATATATATGTATACATGTATGCTGTCGTGGACATGGCAACAAAAGACCCACATACAGACACAGACGTACACATACACATGTACGCATATTGAGACATAGATATACACCAAGACTCGTGGTAGAATGACATGCAATGGCACGAAAACCCGACTATTGCGACAACTGCAGAAGCACTGTCCATGTCAAGTGTCTCAGGAAACCTTGTTGCCGCACTAGCACTTGCAACAGTCCTGGCTCACTTTTTCCAGCACATCTACCAGTGCCGGGGGGGTGAAACTTGGAGTCACGGCCACATGAGGCCAGCTAAGCAATTGAAAAGGAGTTCCTCCGCACTCTTCACTTGGCATCCCAGGAATACACGTCACCGACCTGCAAGAAACTGAAGGTCTTCAAGCACGATGTGAGAACCTGCATGACCTTGCACCAACTGCATGTCTGCGCAAGAGGCCAGAAAGAACACAAAACAATGCTCCATAGGCTTGGCAAACTTTATACAGTCCTTCTATGGGATTATAAACCAGCAGTAAGTTGGTTCCATAGATGCATCGTTGCTACTCTTCCTGTCCTCAGAACATCTGAGTGTTTCTTGAAAAGACCGTATAAATTCCCAAATCAGAATCCCCAAGTGATCCCCGGAATTCCCTTGTAATCCCTATCTTGCTACTGCCACTCAGCTACCTCCATCTTCAGCGACACTCTAGACCCTAACCTAAAACCCAAATCCTATACACTAATGCACTGTAGCCCCTTAGCAAAACTCCCTTATTCATCTCTTCAGCCCTTTCAAGAAAATCCAGTTTATCGGGCAAGAGGGGCAGCCTTGGCTCTGGGCACCAGAGAGTCCAGCATGCGGCGCCGGTTGGAGTCCAGGGTCCGCGCCTCATCTATGAGATGCAACTTCTCTTCAAGGGCCCCTGCTTCAAAAAGAAGGCTAGGAAAACCAGGGGGACCTATGAATACCAAAGGTCATTAATTAACGTGCTGCGCATTCGCAACGCCTTACTCCCCGTGCTGACAGACTTGACTTTGCACGCGAGCATGATTAGGCATGAAAACCTTCTTCGAATCAGCCTCACACTTTGCGAGAGCATCTCCAAGTGGCCAGTCCAGATCATACTTGAAATCTGCGACATGCAGGGCTGGGACCCCCCCCCTCCCTCAAATAGCATGTATTCATACAATGGCTTGAAGTTCAGACGCGCCTGACGCAGGTCATGGTTATATCGGACACCGAAAACTCACAGAGGGCTCTACACCTGCAGGCCAAGTGCAGCAAAGCGGCGTAAACACCAGTCCTTGGCTTTGTTTGTGCTGGAGTTTTTAAGGCAGAAGGGCCCCATGGCCCATGGCCATCTCACTTGCACACTGCTAGCGAGACAGACCAAAGGTGTTTCATGCAACTTTTGGTGCTGTTGTACCGACATGATATCTTCCGTGTTCCGTCCACATCCACCTCTGGCACATTTCAATACTGTCGGTACATGCCACCCCTATCCGCACACCCCGTTTCAAGAGGTCAGAGTTCTGGATTCTCAGTTTCTTGCAAAACTTCACTCACGTACAATCTAACTGAAACCTAGGGGTCTAGCGTCGGATGACTCTCCGCATCCTTCTAAGTTCTTGAAGCTCATATGGAAATCCTGTGGAAGCAATCCCTATGGATTCCTACAATTGCGTATAAGTCATATTACGTTAGCAACTCCGTACCATATCTCTACATGTAGTCCCCCTTAAGTAGATAGAATGTGGCTTTGGGTATGTTAAAATAAGATCCCCGTATACCCCACATTCTATCTACTTAAGGGGGACTATAAGCCCTAAACCCTAAATAGTAGTTTCCATTTTCTTTTCCATTATCCCAATATAACCCCTATATTCCCCATATCTACTTAAGGGGGACTATAGACCCAATATATACCCTAACCTTGGTAACTTGGGAGCAGGGCCCAGCAAGCACTAAAGCCTGAGCCCTGAATCCCACTATAGGGGCATAATCTAGGGATAATGGAAAATACAATGGAAACTACTATTTAGGGATAGAATATAGGGATAATGGAAGTAACATGGAAACTACGATTTAGGGATACAACATAGGGATATAATATAGGGATAATGGAAAACAAAATGGAAACTGCTATTTAGGTGTACAATATAAGGGTATAAAATAGGGATAATGGAAGATAACATGGAAACTACTATTTAGGGATATCTTATAAGGGCATAATATAGTGGTTTGGTATAGGAGTATCATCTGAGGCCGCTGCTTGATGCAGTGGCCCCGGAAAGCATCGCGAGACGACTTGAGACGCTTCTGCCAGTGCTCGCGGCGTCCTTTGGCCTCCTTTTACGGTTTAGGGTTTAGGGTTTAGGGTTTAGGGTCCTTTGGCCTCCTTGAACACACTCGGAGGGTCAGGGGCACTTTGTAATCATGGACAAGAAAATGGAAACTACTGTAGTATCTAGGGTTCAGGGTTTAGGATTTAGGGTTTAGGGTCAGGGAGACTCAGTAAGTGGGTTAATAAGGGGGATAACTAGGGCTACTATATGAGTTATAGAGGTTATTAACCTACTTACTAAGTCCCCCTAACCATCCAAGCATGATGGCATGAGGGAATTGCACACAAGCAGTCCTATGCGGCTGTGAATGGGCGCTATGGGGCTTTAAGGTGCTGGTACTGAGCATTCTACGGCCTAACGATTCCTAGATTCCGCAAGGTGCTTGCGGGACTGCAAACGGGTTTTAGGGCCCGCCTGTGCGGATTCAGACCGTGTAACTGTAGGGCATGGCAAGCCACGAGGGCACAATGCGTCCGGCTTCACTGCAGGCCGCTTCTTTCGCAGGGAGTTTCCATACATTGAGGGATCTCTAATGGATCCCAATGTAGTATCATCCTTGTGATGAGTGGCCCAAAAAGGCAAACCCTGCTTGTTGGCAACCTCCACATAAATGCTATACCACTAGCAAGCAAGAGCTGTTCCATTGTGGTCATCTTTCAGGAGGTCTTCAGCTCCGGCCACGACGGTTTTCAAGAGCTGTATGGGGTTTAGACTACGTTTAAGGCTTCCGTGGGCCTAAACCTTAAGCCCTAAATGGAATTTTCCATTTTCTTTCCCATTATCCCTATATAACCCCAATGTGACCCCAAAAATCAACTTTCAGAAGTCCTAAAGCACTGTAGAAACACAAAGCACGCGACCTTGAAAAGGTGAGGCAGGCCGTGAACCTGGAGTCTGCCATGCTGCTAGGTACGCATAGTACGAAACAATGGGGTTATTTGATATACAGGGGATAATGGAAAAGAACATGGAAACTACAATGGCGGGATATATATTTAGATGGAAAGGAACATGGAAAATTAAATGGTAACTGGAGTTATATAGGGGTCGAAAGTGGAGATTTCTAGCCCTGAACTGATCCCAGATTTGCCCTTTTCTTGTGCATGTGACTCCCCATCACCCTGCTGCGTCCTGCAGGGCGTGGCGTTCCTGCATAACGGCCCTCTCCCACTGCATAGCTGTCGAGCGAAGCATCTCACGACAGTCAGTGCGGACCTGCTCAATAAACCCTTGGGATCCTAGGGTCTACCATAGGGATTGGGTTTAGGGTTAGGGTTTGGGATCCAAGTCCATAGAGACCCAAGCATACAAATAATACTAATGATGGAGAATCAAATGGATAAGAAAATAGACAGTGAAATGGAAACTGAGGTTATAGAGCAGTTAATAGGGATCCAAGCATATAATCAATATCAAGAATGGAGAATCGAATGGAGGAGAACATGGAAAATGAAATGGGAACTGGTGTTATGAAGGGGCTATGTAGGGATCCAAGCATACATATAATACCTACAGTGGGCCCTAGAGTCTATAAATATTATCTACGTTGGGCTATTTGGATCCCTAGGCCCCTAGGGAAAAGTTGAAGGATTTAGGGGTTAGCCCAGATTGGGATTTTGGGTTTAGGTTCGGAGTCTTTTAAAGGGGCCTGACGGGATTGGGGCTCAGGAATTTAGGTCAAGGACGTTCAGGGGCTTCTTCAAGGTTACGGATTCAGAGAGTTCAGCGACTGCTGGATTTAAGATTCGGGGACTTCGGGACTTGGGGATGAGAGGCTTAGGGGTTCGGGGTTTAGCGACTTTGGGGTTCGGGCTGTAGGGACTCGGGGGATGTAGGGTGCGGTGCAAGGATTTAGGGTGAGGGACTTTGCGTCGAAGAGCTAGGCTCAGGGATTCAGGCATGGGAACTGGGAGCAGATGGGAACGCAAACCCCATAAATCCCATTAATGAGCAAATGCTGCACACACTTGGGGGCCGCGGTCATCAACCGACCTTAAATGTGCTGCTCTGGAACAATGCAGTTGAGAACTAGTCCAACTATCAGTATCCGTGTTAATGCCAGTAAGCAGTAGCAGCTTAACATGATGACTGCAGTTCATTTAAGATTTGCTGTGGTGGTCTCTAGCATCACCACTGCTGTTGCTGGCACGTCTGCTGCCTATGCTGCCGCTGCTAGCACTATCAATGCCGCCACTTTTGGTGCTGAGTTCCATGCGCGTGTGCCTCAACGCAAAAAAAAAACTCCAAAACCAGCACAGCAGCAAAAGGTCTGATTGAACAATTGAGCCAGCGTTCGGGGCATCGTGTACCAGCATGTCGAGACTATAGGAGCATGTTATTCGGAGCTTCAAATCCTATCCGATGCAGTGCCCGTATCGATTCACTGCGTGATTTCGAAATACAGCTTCTACGTACTCAGGTACTACACCCGGAAGATTTCACAGTTTACCTTGCACACTGATCCCAACAAGTAGAGCTTCGTAACCCCAAAATGACGCCTCAACCCGAAAAACATCGGAACTCAGTGGGAAGTAGACAATGATTATGGGCGGCTGCGCTACCCTATAATTTTATAATGGCTTCCTTTCAATGTAGACATCAAAGCCCCGAGATGCGGCCACCTTGGCCAGCCGGAGATCCAGCTGCTGCTTGGCGCAAGCAGCGGCCTGTGCCTAACAGGGTTTGGGAATTTTGGGTTAGGGGTTTGGGGATGTAGGGTTTAGGGTTTCCAGTCTAGGGTTCTAAGTCTGAGGTTGAGAGTATGGGCTCTTAATTTGGGCCTTCGGCCTTTCGAAGCGTTGCATCATAGGGGATCCTACATAAATATGGAGGAACCAAAGGGCTACTGGCCCATGGCAGGGGTCCATGGTTTTGGCCTTAGACAAAGAACCTGTGCTCCTGGCAGAGTTACAGGGTGCAGGGCTTAGGAAAAAGTAAGTGGATTTCTACATTACGGTTACAGAAGCGTAGACGGGGCTTAGCTGCAATTGAATATCAAACCGAAGCGCGAGTGGATACATAATGTTGCTAGCCTGTTCTAAGGTTTTATAGGGATGGCACCAAATTACAATAGAAGGATTTGGGGAACTCCAACCCCTGGAATCAGGACTCGATGACTCTATAGGAGGTCTATGATAGCCATAGCCCTTATTTTGGGATGCCAAATTCGCGTACGATACATGGTTTAGGATGGGCCCCCTACATCCTCATTGGGGTCATGAGTACGTTATATGATGGGGAAAATATAGGGATAATAGTCCCTTATTCTCTACTAACCACGGGCAAGTAAACCCATCAGGAACACAAACAACTCCTTTGAGGCTGCAGCCAAGCGCTGGCGGGCTTTTCGCACTTCTTGTCTCAAAGCCTCCTGGACACATAAGTCATTTGTGTTGCTTGGTTAAGACGGATATAAATCACTTTACTAGACTCAACGGAAGATATAATCTTAATCTTGCTCGATTTGGGGGGACTCACGTAAAATCAAACACGAGCCACATTGACTTCGCCGGCCTGCGGCCCAGTCATGTACTTACAATTTTGCGCTCTCCACTTCAAGGCTTATGTGCGCTAGAGATGGGGTTAAACATAGGAAACTATAGCGATCATAAATTCTAACCTTATGTCAGGCATTTGCATACATACTATAACCCTACTTTAATGGAAAAACTTCTTAATTACTGCTACAAAAGCTTCCTGCAATATCACATCCCAATCTCTCTCCCTTCGTGGCCATTTGGGCACAACTGCCGGAGCAAGTACACTCAAGGGTTCGATCTCCTTACTACTTAGTTCAAGGCATTTCTCTCCCTCTTTCTCTCTCTCTCTCTCTCTCTCCCTCTCCCTCCCTTGCCTGCTGACGTTGTCTCTGTCCTTTGCTTGCAAACCCATAAAGATCTGTGACATCAGGGAACGGAAGAAGGAAGAAGGCCGTAGAAAGCTTTTTTTCCCAAGATTTGTTGCCGCGGCCGGGTGGAAACCTGCTCCTTTTCGAAGCAGGGTGAGAATAGCATCACTGTTAGAGGCTGCAAGATCCGAAGCCTCAACACCGCAGCCCTCCACTTTGATATCAGGGATGTTATAAGGGTTTAGGGTTTAGGGCTTGCATGGGTATTGCCAGGAACCCTCCAGAAGAAAGATAGCCAACGCTTGCGCTTCTCGATATGGATCTGCCTATGCAGTCCGTACGTGTGGCAATGACTTGACAAAAGGGAGCCGTAATCTTGACAGAGCTAGTGTCCTGTACCCTGAACCTGCAAAGAACTCTTGGGGATCAGAGTTGCCAGTCATACATACACACACACATACCTACAAGCTTACGTCCGTACCTATATATATGTATACATATATACATACAGATATGCATATGCAAGGGTAAAATGCCCCTACCCTACCCTAAATCCTAAACGCTACACATAGGTTGCAAGTCGGAAACCTGGAACCAACGCTCACTCCAGCACACTCCGCCGCGATCCATTCTCGAGCGATTTGTGGATCTGATGGGCAAAACCTGGGTTTTAAGGTTTGGGGGTTTACCTGGGCCTAAGCCCTATACCCTATACCCCATACCCTATATACTATACTATACTATACTGTACTATACTATACTATTAGGGCTTTAGTTTACAGGCTTTAGGTGGTCTAGAGTTGTAGTCCTCAGTGCTTCAGCTTCGAAGTTCAAGTTTTCAGTGATCAGGGGCTTAGGGCGTAGGGCTACGGGCCACCTGAAGACCCATGGAAAACAGCAGAAAGTTCTAAAGACAGAGCCCAGACGCCGTCCAACATTCCCGAGAATGCCTGAGCCAATGGGGATCTGTGACAGGCCTCCCGACCCTGGGGAGATATGTATATATATATATGCATATGGATTACAAGCGGATTATTGGGGGGATCCACATCGAGGATGGTTAACGCGTTGTTTTGAGAAATCGCAGCATATCCCGATAAGGCCCCAGGTTCAATTTTGTTATCCATTTGATTCTTTCATTTCTGGGGCAATTTCCTCAAGAGGCTATTTTGAGAAACTCCCATGTCTCGAGAGGGAATTGCCAGGTGGGTGGCATTAAGTATAAGGCCTACAGAAGGCTTGGACTTCAAAATGTTCTCGCTTAAACCGATAGATTGTCTCCTTGATACTCATCTTGATTCTTGATACAGTAAACTGGAACCTGCAGGCGATTATGGATGGAAATTGTAAAGAGCCTCCAAAGCATGAACATGTAGGTATTCATGGCATGTGATGAAACTGGGTTTGTAGGGACAGCTATGCGAAAGAAATTGGATGCATGAGTCAACCCCGTCTGTTGCGGGTCCACATGCACCCTCAGATAATCATTATGTTCAAGGTGACTTCTACTTCCAGAACCTGGCATTTTGCATGGAAATTTGCCGTGAACTCCCATAATGATGCAAGGAGCAATATCCCCGCAAATATCCCTAGTGCCGTTTGTGCTTCGGTGTTTAGAAATCGAAATCCTTCATAAACCGGAGTATGTCCAGAACCTTGTCCTGTGTTGTCTGGCTATCCCACCTCGAGATTCTCATTATTGTGTTAGTGCACTCCACTACTAGAGAAAAGATGTCCAATGGAGTGACGGTTATTTATTCATTCAGTAGTACCCTGGTCGAAATATTCCTTTGATTTGAGTATGTAGCAAAGTGGTGGTCCCCATATAGCCCCAATGTAGTAGAATCCTTATAATGGTTCCAAGCCCCCAAACCGGCACCAAGAATCGTATTATTGCATTCATTCCAATTACTTTCCCAAGGTCCTGGCAGATCGAATGGAGGGTTTCCGCACAGACATATCTGTCCCCACAAAACCAGTTTCATCACATGCATAAATACCTACATGTTCATGCTTTGGAGGCTCTTTACGATTTCCATCCATAATCGCCTACAGGTTCAACTTTCAGTCGTAGCGGTTCGGAAGTACATTTTAATCTTTAGGACTCTGACCAAACAGACCCGAAGGACAAACGTAGACAAGAGCATCCTCCAAAACACTTGTAGATTTCCCAAGCCCAAAGCCTTCAACCCGCAACCTCCTTAACCCCTCGGCACGCCGCGAACTGGGCTTGGAGCAAGGAAGCCAAATCTTCAGCCAGGCTGCAAAAATGCCCCCAAGGATAGCACAGCACTCAGTAAAGAAATGGAACATGCTCTTTCGGCTTCTTGTGACACGCACTTCGAAGGGTGTGAAATCACAACTCATCCACACACCTGAGGGATTCTTGAAAAGAATCTACATGATCCTCAAGGGGTGGCCCTACAGTGTCTACAGCGTCTATAATAACCTGCTTATAAGGCCCCCAATTGGGTTCCCCAAACCGCTCTAATCTTGAGCAACCTAGATAACACGGTAGTTTCCATTTTCCACTATCCCTATTTCGCCCCGCATAGTCCCTTGACCCTAAACCCAGTACCTGTGGCACCGACTTTGTGACCAGGGTCTCTGGCATCCACAGCCTTGACGTATTCCGTGACACTGTACTGGTGACCAGCGATTTCGTCGGATCCATCCTCTTGACTTTGTTACGATCGTTACTTTTGTTGCCATGTGTACTGTTGTTGTTATTGTTAGTATTGTAGCTAGTGTTGCCGCTATTACTGTTATTACTAGTATCGAAGTTTTCGTCGGATCCGTCCTCTTGATATCTTGTGGGTATGACATGGACATCATACTGATAGTGCTCAGACGTTGGCTTCTGATGGCTTGACTTCTGCCTGCCATCCAACACCCGCACAAGGCCAGGGAAGTCTGGTCCGAAGGACAGGTTGTGGATGTGGTGCGAGAAATCAGCACTGACAGTAACATCTGCCAAACTGCTTGCCCGGACCAAGTCCCGTCGGATGCGTTGGCTCACACCTATATGCAGCGTTGCAGGGACTTTGCGAACATGCAGTCGCGCTTTCAAGCGGCAACCCTCGTTGGCTTCTGCAGCCGTCCGCTGGTAAGCCTCTTCGATGCACTGCACAAACACGTAGTCATCTGGCCTGTCATCCCATCCTCGATTCAGGAAGGCCTCTCGGACTTCTTTGCACGAGTTGCAACAAGAATCCTCGTCGAAGAGGCTCTGAAAACAAGAGGGACAACGTGAAATCGCAGAGGAGTGGTTTGCTCTGGTGGGTATGTCTCGGAAGACAGTCGCCAAGTCTGCGGGAGTCATAGCCACATTCTCTAGGCCGATACGAATGGGCTTCCCGATCACCTCTCCGGTCGATGATAGACGTGTCTTGTAGATTTCATGGGCCACGTGCATAACGTTGTTCTGCTTGGGGTCCATTAAGTTTACGCTCAAGACTGAGCAAGGCAAGGCAGAAAAGGAAATGTCAAGGGACGCATTTAAATATTTTCGCTCCTGACTCTGGTCGATTAGCATCTCGTCCTTCGTGTCCAGCGTTAAGAAGTAGCTCAGCTCGGAAAAGAACAGCACAGCTACTAAACAAATGGAACCTATCGAGATGTAGCCCCCAATTGCGGTTTTCACCTGGAACTCCTGCACGGGCCGGGCAAAGGCATCAAAGGACTTCATGCCTGCAAGGGCAGCGAGAGCTTCTCAGGCTGTACATGTAACTCCGAGGAACGGGTCAAACCTTGGGTTGCGTAGTCATTGCTTGAGCCTGGCTGCGCAACAAAAGGTAATGAATCGGGTCTCATACATGCGAATGGGGCTTTAGAGCAACTGTTTCTAGAACCATGACGGGATTGAACCGGATGATTCTTGCAATTCTTCAAGCTTCTACGCTTGACCCAGACCCCTGGGAGGATCTAGAAAGTAGAACCCCTATATGGTACTCTATACTACTATTGGGTAATTTCTAGGAACCCTTAAGGGGGTTCTACNNTAGATCCGCCCAGGGGTCTGGGGACATCAAGTGTTGGGAACTTGCCTTCTGCAACCCACCACCCAGGAGCCACCCCCCAGAGAAAGTTTGATATGACCTATAGTCTAAACTCCTTAAAGGGGAGTTATATAGGGGATTCTATAGGGGGCTACTATAGGGGTTATTAAGGGGGATACTAGGAGTTTAGAAAATGGCTCATATGTACCAGCCCCAATGGGTGCCAGGCACTTGCACAGGCAATGGCAGATCCCTAAAAAAAACAGTTGCAGAACTTGGGAAGAGTCCGGAAGGCTCCCATTTCTTTCTACTGAACTGAACCCCTAAGCTGTATTATAAGCTCTAAGCCCCAAACACTAAGCCCTGTATCCTAAACCTTAAGCTCTAAACCCCTACACCCTAAACGCCCTCTAAACCTAAACCATACGCCCCCAACAAACCCTGTATAACCAGAAGCCCTAAACCCTAAACAGCAGTTTCCATTCTCTTTTCCATTGTCACTATGTAGCTCCCTGTATAACGCCTATAATCCCCTATAATCCCTATAGTTTTCATTTTCTTTTCCATAATCCCAATATTACCCCAATGCACTATGAAATACTATGCTATACTATAAAAATTACATAATATACTATAATATACCATAATATACTACCCTGAACCCTAAACCCTTTTTAAGCAAACAGAAAAACAGAAACCGGAGCGCTCCTGGTTACTCCGCTCCTTTGACTCGATCTGTCGCAACTCCAAGGTCAACTGTCGCTGGGCCTTTGGGGTTTAGGCATTGGGGCTGTATTGGGATGATGGAAATAAACTGCAAACTACTAGTTAGGGGTTTAGAGTTTGGGCTTTGGGATTTGAGGTTTGGGGGTGTAGGGTTTCGAGACTCCGGCGGTTACGGCCCAGGGGTTCAGGCTACAACCCCTGTATACTGTATTCCCATACTCCTTTTTGAGCACCAGTAAGATGTAAGCTTGACGGAGTGAAGCTTAGAGGTTCTGGTGCAGCAGGGTTTAATGCTTCAGGGCGATGATGGAGGTTGTTGGAAGAATTAGGGAAAGACACATGTTTGATTGTGGGCGCTTACTCGTTTCTAATCTGGTTGCTATTGTTGCTCAAATGTATGTTTTGTCTTGTTCTTAAGTCTTTGCTATGGCCACTCTGATGATCTCTCTTTGCCACTCCGCATTTCCCACATCGCTTGCGGAGACTCTTCTGTCATGCCATACCTGGGCTTGCAACTATTGTTAAGTATTGAGCTTGTTACTGCTTTCTTCTCCTACTTAGCGAAAATCCCGTGCATACTCATCAACTAGAGGAGGTCCTCACAACTCTCTGCGCTGATGGAAATCCCCGCCCTTGACATTAACCCAGATCGCCACCCCCGGGAGCACACGGACAGCTTCACAACCACTTCCCCTGCCCCGGGGGCCTGCGCTTTGAGATTTGCCCTGTGATCCATTTTTGCGTGCAGCTTTGTTCTCTAAATCTCCCTCCCTTCCTCCCACCCGCCCTCACTACCCTGCCAGCAACCCTAAACCCTATAAAAACGCCCCATACAATCGTGCGCGCCCCTGACGTTGAGTAGTGTTTTCAGTTTCCCCACTTCACTTCAGAAAAGAGATTTATGGGCTACTTACACTAGAAACTTATCTTATTCCCTACTAACCACCAGTAAGTCTGGGAAAATAGAGAGAAGCCTGAAGGCCTTACATCCATGTCCAAGTTGTTGGCCACTTTGCTGTAGACCAACCTTACCTACTATCTAGGGTCAACAACTTACTGGTCGTTCGCAAGGAATGCTTCGCAAGGAAAGGAGAAAGCCCCTGCCGGCGTAACCCTAACCCTAAGGGTCCAAGGACCCAAATAACGGGGTTTTGGGGCCCAAATACTATAGTAGGAATGGTATTTGGGCCCTAAAACTATATTATTTGGGTCCTTGGACCCTTAGGGTAAATGAATTAGCTTCCATGTCCCGACTCCTCTACCTTCCTTGGCTAACTTGTAAGCAGCAGAAATGTAAAACTTTTTCGGGCCCTAATTAAGCTCGGCACACATATATATATATATGTATGATATGTATATATACACACCTATCTAGAAACCCCTAGGTTTCACTTCATGTTCCATTTGCTTCTACCCTAATTTTAGGAAACCCCCATTCCCTATCCATGTATATTTCAGTTGCTTCTCCATTTTCCACCCCAAAAAAAGTTGTAAAACCCTAGTTGCCATTCCATCTCCATTTTCTGTTCCACTTGATTCTGCATCATACCGGAGTAGGTCCTAGCAGCGTTCCTATTCCTCGACCCTAAACCCTAAAGCTAATGGTGATTAGTAGGGAGCCTGGGAATGTATAACCCTATATACCCTGTATAAATTCCCTATATTCATTACTGCTACTAATCGCTAGTAAGTAAATCGTGCGCCTCAAGAAGTCGCTGGTCCTTCTCAGCGCTCTGAGCCGCCAAGGCCGTGTCAATGCCGTGGCGGCGCTGCAACACATGCCTGACGAAGGAGGTTTTTGGGCATACTTAAAGTAAGTCATGGGATTATATATTGGGGTTATATTGGGATAATGGAAAAGAAAATGGAAACTGTAGGGATTATAGGGGTTTATA